TATCTTTCTTTAGGTTAGGGAAGTTTTCTTCTATGATTTTGTTGAATATGTTTTCTGTACCTTTAAGTTGAATTTCTTCACCTTCTTCTATACCTATTATTCTCAGGTTTGGCTTCTTCACGGTGTCCCATATTTCCTGGATATTTTGTGTTAAGGATTTGTTGGTTTTGAGATTTTCTTTGGTTGACGACTCTATATCCTCTAATGAGTCTTCAACACCTGAGATTCTCTCTTGTATCTCTTGCATTCTATTGGTGATACTTGCATCTGTAGTTCCTGATCGTTTACCCAGCTTTTCTATTTCCAGCATCCCTTCATTCTGTGTTTTCTTTATCGTTTCTATTTCAGCTTTCAATCCGTCAACTGTTTGAGTTGTTTCCTTCATTTTTTTGGTTGTTCTTTCTTGGTGCTCTTTAGATTCTTTGAGAGATTTGTTTATTTCTTGAATTTTTCCCCCATTTCATGGATTTTTTGTTTGTTTTTCTTCTATTTCTTTAAGGGATTTCCTCGTTTCTTCTTTGAGGGTCTCCATCATCTTCATGAAATAATTTTTAAGGTCTGTCTCCTCTTCTTCGTCTATGTAGTGCTTTTCGGGTCTTGCTGGTGTTGGATCCCTGGATTCTGGTGGGGTCATGTTGGTGTTTCTACTGCTGAGTGATCTCTTATTCTGTCTTCTTCCCATCTCTTCTTTCAGTGGGTACTGGTGGGGTCTTTCCGTCTCCACTGGTCTCCTTCCTTCTTGCAGCTGAAGCTGGGGATGCTGACACGGAGTTTGGGTCCTGGTAGGGCTGATGTCTTTCATGAAGCTGGTCTCACTGGGGTTGGGGTCTTGGAATTGTTGACTTCTTTGCTGTGTGGGCAGGTCTCCTGAAGCTGTACTCGCTGGGGTTGGGGTCTTGGAAGGGCTGATGTCTTTCCTGAAGCTGGACTCACTGGGGTTGGGGTCTTGGAAGGGCTGATGTCTTTCCTGAAGCTGGACTCGCTGGGGTTGGGGTCTTGGAGGGGTTGATGTCTTTCCTGTGTGGGCGGGTCTTCTGGATGCCTGGAGAGGCTCAGAAGATCAAGGGGGATGGGGGATGGGCGGGCGGTCCCTGCCAGAGACCCAATCTCACCTGAAGCTGGACTCGCTGGGGTTGGGGTCTTGGAGGGGCTGAACCCTGTTTTATTTTTAATTAATGTTCTTTCCTTCTACCTTTTTTCACTCATTCAAACAAGCAACACAACTGTCATAAAACAGGGAATGAGCAAATGAAGGAAGAATTTTAGTCACATGGTTACTAATAAAACTGAAGAGAATGATTGCACCTCATGCTCTCTGGAAGCAGTTTCCTTCTAAAACTCCTTTCTCTGAAAGAAATTAGACTTGTACACTCATTATTTACTATTTCAGGATGGTTAGGTATATGGAAATCTGTTCTTCAAAGGCATTTTATGAGAACATTATTCTTCTAAATTGTAGTTCTTTAAAAACTCTTTGTAAATTATCAACAAATGATTTTTTAAATAAGCATCACATTATTTTAGCCACTAAGTTTTGCCACTGTTATTTTTAACTCCTTGTTTTGACATGTTGCTTTTTACTGTAATTAAAATTATTGGCATCTGTGTTTACTTCTTAGCTTGTACATACCACATCTTCATAGAAAAACTAATTAGTATGTGAAATACAGTACCATTGAATGCATTAATGGGAAATTTCCTAACCTTAAATATAAATTGTCATAGAAAATACATTTTAATATATTATTTTGTCTATCCAGTTACCTCTCAATTGTTTTCTTATAACAAAGAATTTTCTTAACTTTTATCTCTGTATATCTTTGCTTGGCTCTACACTTGTGGTTAAGTAGATTGAAGATTTTAGAGGAGGAAAGGTCTTCTCTCATGAAATTTACTAACTGATGTAGGAACATATTGTATGTAATGTTTCACCAAAATAGAATGAAATACCCCACAAAAATGTTTCCTAAAGTACCACATTATCTTTTCTGATTGTAAATTGGTTTGCTATTAATTTTTTCAGTCTTTCTCTATTTTACTGATAGGTTACTTAGTGTACTACTCCATAACAGTACCTTTTCTGTAAATATATTTCTCACTGCATATAAAGACTCATTGCTTTTGATTTACCTTTTTGGTAGAGAAATGTAACTTTTAGAATATTCTGTTGAGTTTAATTCTAAAAATATCTCAAAATGCCTCATTGACCTAAATTATTTTATTTCTATCTTGGAGTACTTTAATGGTCTCCTAATTGCTCCTTTCTGTTTTACTGTACTCACCAATATAGCATCAGTAAACTTTTTTTGGGGGGGGGCTGTTCAAGACGGATTCTCTGTATAACTTTGTAGACCACGTTGGCCTTGAACTCACAGAGATACATCTGCCTCTGCCTTCTGAGTGCTGGGATTAAAGGCGTGTGCCACCACCTCCCGGCAGCATCAGTAAACTTAAAAAAGTATGAATCACATTTGCTAGTCACTATTCCCTTCAGTTCCCATTGGATCATACTACTGAGCTTATGTTCTATTGGTTTTTCCCTCTCTAACTTTTAAATTGATTACCTTCACTAGCCTTGAAATCTGTGAATAAAGTAGTCTTACCTTTTTATTATAAAACAACTTTATACCTGTATTGTTAACATTTAGTAAGTTCACTACAAGGAATTTTTAAATAAATTAATTTATTTCTGTGTATTACTTGTTTAATTATGTATTTCATGCAATTCATATTTTATATGATCCTTATTATCCAATACCTACTTGGCTTTGACCGTTAATACTGATCACTTTTTAACTAATTAGAATGAAGTTTCATGAGAACATGGATTTCTTCTGTTTAGTTCAAGGCCCTATCCCCAGTGTTTAAGTTGTACTTAGATAATTCTGCATAGTTGTTGATGTAATGGTTGAATGAGCAAGCTTTTGGATTTATGATATTCAGTTCAAACACTACCAGCTTGTTGTATGGTAACCATATATATTAGGTACTAATGGGTACAACTTCTTGTGTTATTCTACTTCTGATTTATTTTCTGTTAAAATGTTGCTTAATTGATTTAGGAATAATCAATTGGCAGTGTCTTTGAAATCGTTTAAGTACTTAAGCCTGCCTCCTATGAAATAAACAAGACTGAAGTAGTTTATTTATCCTTGGCTTAACTTGCTTTAAATACTGCATTGTTAATTCACTTTACTTTTTGTTCATACATAGTTGGTATTCCCTTGCCCAGATGACCTTAGACTATTAGCTTTTTTCATAAATCTGTTTCTCATTTACCTTCTAGGCATAAACTAAGGTAAAATGAGTTTGTAAGATAAATGTAATTCAGTGTCCTGAAGTTGTACTCTTCATTTCTTTCTTTATGATCTAGTTTTTTTGCCAGCAGTGTTGTTGATCCAGCAAGGCATTTGTTTAAGACTTTCCTAGAATCCCACTGTAGAGATGGCAGTTACCTTCCTTCCTTTCTCATTTAATATGATAGGCCTTTGAAATGTGAAACATGTCTTCATCTTTCCATGTGTTAAGAGAAAGGCCCGTCTTGTTTGCTTTTTACAAGCCAAAAACACAGTTGGGGAGATACTTTCTTTTTGTTTCTTTGTTTTTGTGTAGTTTTAAAATTTTAATTTATTTTACATCCCAACTGCAGTTCCTCGCCCCTTAAATCCACTCCTCCTCTCTTTCTGTTCAGAAAGGGACAGGCCTCCCTTGGGTATCTGCAAAGCATGACATATCAAGTTGCCATAAGGATAAGCACCCTTTGTATTAAGGCTGGGCAAGGCAACCCGGTATGAGGAATAGGTTCCTAAAAGCCAGTCAAAGCATTAGGGATAGTCCCTGCTTCCCTTGATAGAAGTCCCACAGAGGACCAAGCTACACAACTGTCAGATGTATGTAGAGGACCTAGATCAGTCCTATTCAGGCTCCCTGGTTATTGGTTCAGTGTGTGAGTTCCTGGAAGCCAGGTTAGTTGTTTCTGTGGGTTTTCTGGTGATGCCCTTTACCCTTCTGTCTCCTACAGTCCCTTCCTCTCTTCATCAGGATTCCCTGAGCTTTGCCTAATGTTTGGATGTGGGTCTCTGCATTTATTTCCATCAGTTACTGGATGAAGGCTCTCTGATGACAACTGGGATAGTCAGAAATCTGATGACAGTTCAGGCTACGCATCCGCTATTGCTAGGAGTCTTATCTGGTATCATCCTTGTAGATATGTGAGAATTTCTCTTGCATTTGGTTTCTTCTTAACCTCAGAATGTCGGCACTTTCCAGTCATCTTTTTCAGTACTCTTCCCCCTACCACACACTCAATCTGATCCCTCAAGTTCCCATCCCCACCTGTCCCTAGTGCACCCAGGAGATCTCTCCTAAGGGATACATATTCTTTTTATGAAATATGCTTACATTTTAAAACTCACTTGAAGTAGGAGGTTTAAGACCTGTAAAGAGAAGCATATTAAAAAGTAACAAGCAAAAAAGATAATGCTTTTGCACTCTTTTCTTTTTGGTTTGAAATGTTTAATTTAGAATTAAAGTGTGTACTCCATGGTTCCTTCTTAAATAACTGAGTGTTGGTAGGAGAGTTTATTTTATGACCCTCACTAAATTGTATTTTAATGTCTCCCTGAATAAAATGTATTATAACTGTGGGAATGTTAACTAAGTTGTGCTATAGTATTAGCTGCTAATGATTTGTCTTAAGGGAAAAACCCAAAATTTCTTTTTTCAACTTGAAAAATTTTGTCAATTTTTTATTTGTAACTTGGTCAACTGTGAGCGAGTTCATATGAATTTATATCTTCTCTCCCTCAGAATTAAACTATTAATTTGATTTTTGGGTGTAGTTGTGTAGGGGAAGTGAAACAATAAAGGAGGCATACCAATGTATATTAATACCCTTTTTATGTCTAAGCAGTGTCTTCTGATTTCTGAATAATGGTGAAAGTATTGTATTTTTAGTACTTATGTCATGTATTTATATATAGTTTGTGTTTTCTTTGTAGGATGAAGTGGCACACACTCTTACTGAGAGCAGAGTACTAAAGAACACCAGACATCCATTCTTAACAGTAAGTGGTGAGAGAACTGCTGTTAGGACATTTTAAATTCAGTGGGATTTCTACGAAAGAATGAGAATATGACAGTGTTTTGAGTAACATTTATTTGTTTGTACCACATTCTTTATGACAGGCTGTACGTTCTATATCTTTGAAAGTATTGAAAGATGTAAATTAAGTGTATAGCCTGTATATTATGCATTTTTAGTTCCTCCCATTGTCCATGTACAACTTTTTAAAGTTTTTCTTTTCCTCCCAAGCATCTTCCTGATTTTTTTTAAATATCCACAATAGCAAGTAAATCACCTTCTGGCATTTTAAGTTCTCTAATAAAGTAATAGACTTTTTAAAGCCTATTTTTATTTTTTAACAGTAGTGCATCCCAGAGGGTTCATAACTATAACACCAATACTGAGAAGTCTGTAAAGGAGGCTCTCTCTGTGTCTGAGGACAGCCTGCACTCCCTAGTAAACTCTAGGGATGCCTGGGTTACAGTTTCAGACCTATCTCAAAAGAAAAAAAATTAAATGAAGATTTTACTTCTTATTTTTTGTTGCTGGCTTCAGATAAATATTAAAGTGACCACACACTATGGTCTTCAGCTTTCAAAGGTCAAAATTTTAAATGAACAAATTTCAGAGAATAAGATACCTTTCATGATAGACATATGAGAATGTGGAATGTGTTAAATATGGGATGAGTTCTGTGTTTTTTCATTAGAGAAGTATAAAGCATTACTTAATTCATGTTTTCAGACAGGCTATTTTACATCCAGTTTGGCATTCTGTGTAATAGAGGATAATTTATAAAATTTCTCTATGTTCCATACTGTACCAAGCATATTAACATTAAAAGATTGGAACTTTTTTTAACATTTTAAGGCTATCTAAATTAAGCATTTTCAGAGTTATGATAGATACTGCTCTTTGCTAAAGTGTTTCTTGTCTATTTTCCAAAGTAATGACATTTTAGTATCTTCTTATGACTTACAAAATTTCCAGGGCTGACCTTACTGAGTTGGGCTGGGTTTTATCTTCAGCATATACAAAGTAGCACTGAAGGTAATAAATAAAAGCAACTGTGTTCCTCCAGGACTTTCACTAGAATTTTCACCAGGACTTTTCACTAGAATTCCTACTCTGCCTCAGGTGGCACAGTAGGCTGAAAGTGCTCATTACCATTACTCATTTGTTTTTACTTATACATCTTTTAGAAAGTACCCTTACAAAGTAAATATACTCTTAAGAAACAATGTCAGTCTGTCAGTTATGCTGACTGTTTTTAAGTGTTCTATTTTTGTACCATTACTTTAAGTATACGGGATTATAATTAATATTTATTCTTTTCCATTTCAAGTCCTTGAAATATTCCTTCCAGACAAAAGACCGCCTGTGTTTTGTGATGGAATATGTTAATGGGGGAGAGGTGAGTCAAGAAGTCAATCTAGCATTTGCATGGAATATTTCATTGAAAGCATGACAAGTGGTACGAGTTATAGTGGTCCTCAACTTGATGGGTTTGCACAGTTCTTCCTGTTGAGTAAACAAAAGCTAGATTGTTTCTAGTGGGGTGTTTTGATCATTGGAAAGCATAATCATATTCTTTATTTTACTGTATTTTGAAACTAAAATGTTTTACTACAGTATGATTTTTTTCTAAAAGGGACATAATTCCCTTTATTTATTTGTTTTAGATTTATTTTATTTTATGTATGATTATTTTGCCTTCATGTGTGCCTGTGCAGCATGTGTGTGCTTGGTGCCCACAAAGGTTAGAAGGGGGCATCATGTCTTCTGAAACTGGAGTTACAGATGGTTCTGAGCCAACATGTGGGTTCTGGGACTTAAACCTGGGTTGTTTGCAAGAAAAAATTCTCTTAACCATTTGAACAGCCCCAACAATATGATTTTTGAAATTATGTTATTAGATTGTGGACCTATACATACATAGTTAATTAAGTTTTAGATAGTTTTTCAAATAAGCCTTCAGTGAAACTTCTAAACCAAACAATATTCTGTAGACACATTACAGCTGAGCTTTTTCCTTGTATTGATGAAGGTGATAATCAATAGATATAATAGATCTTGCAGTTTGGCAACGAAATTAAATAATTTCACTTGTAGCTTTTCTTTATTTCCTTCCTGATTTGATCAAAATCAATGTGAAGGAAAAGTATAATAAGGTACAGAAATAGTATTTGGAAGTACTTTATATTATGGCTGGTTCTTCACACCAGCCTGGTCCCATAACTGTGTAATCCCCAAATGAACACTTAGAGACTTATATTAATTATAATTATAATACTGTTGACCAACGACTAGAGTTTCTTATTGGCTAGCTCTGTCTTAATTATTAACACATTTCTGTCAATCTATGTATTGTCACGAGGCTGTTGCTTACCTGGTGATGCCCAGCATGGTGTTACTCCTCCATTAGCATCGTCACTCTCTCCAGCAGGCTCACTCTGCCTACCTTTCCCAGAATCCTCCTCCTCTCCTAGCCCTGCCTATATTCCTGCCTGGACAATCAGTGTTTTATTCATCAACCAACAAGAGAAACATATACAGAATTACATCTCCCATCAACTTTACATTATGATCATTCTGAAATAAATATATTAAAAGAAGCTTATATCTTATAGACTTAAATATGATTACTTCCCAATCAAAATTAATACCTGCTGTGGAATATTTTTCAAAAGATTATCTGGTATATAGAAATTACTTAATTCAAAATTTCATTCATTCACTCGGTGAACATATTTTGTATTGAGATAGTACAGAATTCTCTGAATGTGTTAAGACATTGTCTTTGCTATGAAGGAGTATATAATTTCTTTTAAACAACATGTAGGAGTATGTATTTTCTAGTGTGAGTATATTATTAGTTAGAATGTCTAAGCCCTAAGTACAAATGTTTATAAAAGACAATTCTTCACTAAAGATAGACTGAAGGAGATTTTATTAGTGGACTGACTAAGCTAAAGTGGCCCTTCAGGTAGAAATGATAGTGTCTCCCTGGAGGGTGAGCACAGAACAAAGAAAACTTGATCAGTTAAAAACAAACAAACAAACAAAAACAATGATGCAGGCACAGAAAACTTGGAGCTTCTGTCAGACTTCCATGTAAATATGAAAAGATACATGGTTTGTAGTTGTGGGACTGGCATCTTAAGAGCTAGTTTGTTGGATGTGGGTAAAAAAAAAACATTGCAAAGATCCACACATAGTTTAATAGTTGTAATCATGTGAAATTATTGGATATGCTTAACTTATGAAAAACATTTTTAGAGTGACATTAAAAATTGATTTTTGAAAAGCTTTTACTTTTTGAAATAAAAGGTTTTATCATTTTCAAGACAATATATATTGTTAGAAGATTAAAGGAGAACAGATTTGGAAGATATTCACCTAAAGTTTATAATTTTACTTATACTGGCACAAATGACATTAACGAAACCTCCATGTTGGTACCTGTCAGAATTTAAACTACACATACTTTTGGAATCAGTGTAATGCTCAATTCTCAACTTGATGACATCGAGAATCTGTGTGGAGATGGGCCTCTTGGCCTGTCTATGAAGGTTAAGTTAGCTGAGGTGACAAGACACACCCTCTATAAGTACTACTATTCTTTGGGCTGGGATTCTGTACTGTACAAAGCGGCAAAAGTGAACAAATAACAAGCATTCGTCATTCATCACTTTTTGACTCTGAACTGTGGTTCTAGTGTAACCACTGCCTCAAGCTCCTGTAACTTCCATACCTTGATGGATTATAACCTTGAACTGTAAGCCAAAATAAACCCTTTCTCCCTTTGGTTGGTTTTGTCATGGTATTTTACCCCAGCAATAGGAAAAGTAAGACACTCAACAATTCCATTTCCAGTAATTATAATTCCAAGAAAAAAGATACATGACCAAATTCTATATGAATAAGCACATTTATTGTAAAAGTGTGATATTGTAAATGAATGTTCAGTAAGGATGCTGCTTAAGTATGTATAGTGTTTCAAGATTGGAGAGTACAAAGCATGCTACTCTTATGCTTAAGATATCATGTACATGTGCACATGCCCTGTGTATATGTGAATATCTCATCCACTGGAATTTAGAACTGGTCTTGTGACTGAGTGAGTACAGGGCAGAAGGAAAGCTTAATTTTCACTTGTGTATTCTTCTGTAGTTTTTTGTATTACAGATACTATGTACTTACCAACTAAAAATAAGCAAATGGACAGATGACTAGGGAAAAGAGTGATAGAGAGATTTGAAATGGCAATCTATGGACAAAACTTAGAGCAGCATTGAGTGCAGTGCAGGCCACAAATCAACATCTGTATGATTAATTTTTACAGTCTAATAATGTGAGAAATCTTACTGCTGCTAATATGCTAAAGCCATTCTTAGTAATTTAGCTCTTTTTGCATTTAGATGAGAAATATAAAAATATTACCAGGAAAAATTGTAATTTCTGAAAACTAAGGTACTGTTGAATTTGGTTGAAGAAGTCTCCACTTAGACCTTTTCACAAACTATCTTTAGATTTATATGTTTTAAAGCCTACAAATTGGAATTCTACGATCTCTCACAGGCTCAGATTTCATGGGAGCTAGACATTAAAGGCATGGTAAATCATGTGGGCCTGTTATGCATTTGATCAGTTCTTACTATTCTGTTACACTCTTTTTTTTTTTTTTTTTTTGGTTTTACGAGACAGGAGACAGGGTTTCTTTGTATTGTTTTGGAGGCTGTCAGACCAGCCTGGCCTTGAACTCACAGAGATCCACCTGCCTCTGCCTCCCAAGTGCTGGGATTAAAGGCCTGTGCCACCACCGCCCGGCCTGTTACACTCTTTCTATAGGTACTAATGAACCTACACTTTCCAATATTTACTGTTCATGCTTGTTAGCACTTTGCACAGTCTGTATTAATGTCTTTGATAAAATTCATTTTAGTTTTTGTATATGACTTTCAGTTACGTGTCATTCTTGAAATATTCTCTTATTTAGATTTCTCATTATTTGGCTGGCATTTTCTCTTCTGTGAACTGAACTCATCTCATTTTAAATTCACAGAAGACAGAAGTGCCAGCAGTCAGCATTTGAATTCTACTTACTAATTTGTGGAGGTGTGATTTGGGTGATTTTTAAGTTAAAAGTATTTCAGATTCATGGGGATGCTTTTAAAACTTGCATTTTTACTAAATTTGTGGTTATATAAATATCTTCATTACTAGGAATCTGAGTTATTAATCTTTATGTAGGTTATGTCAGAATTCTGTTGCTTTCACCCAAATATTTTTCAAAAATTCCTAAGCCAAGAATGCTACATTACAATATTCACATTAACGTCTAAAGTTAAAGGGAAAATGGTCTTTATCTTGTGCTGTTTTATGATACAACTTTATAGTATTTCAGGACCAGTTTCCTAAAATCATTAAATCATCACAGGACTCCAGTTTAAATCAACAGATGACTTGGCAAGTCGTGTTGTTTAAGATGGTGACCTGCCTAGAACTATGAGCTGTGCCCAGGTAGCTCTCTCAGTTTTCATGATTTCTGTCTGTGGGGTTATGGTTACAGAATGCACTTTCATAGTAACTAGACTTCTTAAAGGATGCTTACCACAGAGTGACCCTTTTAAGGAGTTGCAAATAGGAAACACACACAAACACAAGAGCGCACACGCACTCCTAAGTATATAAATACAACCTGCTTAGTTTGTGTAGTGTTACTTGTATGTATGTTTTCAGGGCTGACTTTGGTAATGGTTTATCAACTGGTATGTTCTTCCCTGGGGATGACAGTTTCTCCTACTCTCGGCATTCCTTAGTTGCCTGCAGTTCTTTGTGTAGGTCTCCTGGGCTTATCCCATTCATCTGAGCACATTTATTGTTGCACAATAACTTTAAGGGTACAGTGATGGCTTGCATTCCTCATAGTAACTAACGGCACTCTAATTGGATTTAAGATCTGCCTAACAAGAGGAAAATCATACCTGGCACTAAAAACCTAGCCAGCCACCCAGGGCAGGTGAAGTCATGAGTCTTGGAGAACTTACAACCTGTCATTTTACTGAACCAGCATAATTTGTAGCTATATTGTAATACCCACAGATAAATGTAGTTCTCACCTGCATCAAGGAAGTTTCTCTTTGTAAGAGATAGACCATTACAAAAACCACAACCAGTCAAAACGCAATTTTGGAGCCCAATACCAATGGCTACATCTCCAAAACAACTTCTTTACCTAAGGCTTAGGGAGCATTGTAAAAGGGGGTACAAAGACAATAAGAGCTAGAGGACCAGGGAGTTTGTTGTGAGAATATCAGCAACTACACTCATAGAATCACACCAATATGACTTTCCAAAAATGAGATGAAAAAGGACAAGAACAACAGTTATATTCTTTTTTAAAACAATATT